CAATTCGTACTTAATCAGTTGGCGATTAGAGTCCAAAAGTATGGTATATGTTTTGCACCATTAAGGTGTAAAACACTTTTCCAAGATTGGCAGAAGCTTGTGCCCGCACCCGCCTTTGGTGGTGAGCCACTGGAAGTAGTCGAAAAGTTCATGTATCTTTGTGAGTGCTGGTGGAGGTCTAAGTAGTGAAATTTCCAACCGTATATCAAAAACTAGAGTGGCATACACCAATCTGGGCCACCTTTGGCGCCGTTACGACTCTAGTCTGACCGTAAAAGTTTGGGTTTGCAACGCTTCGGTGCCAGCAGTTCTAATTTGCGCCTGTGAAACCTGGCCTCCCTGAGCTGAGGATATGTAACGACTTTGTGAGTTAGATTATTGTTGGCTCCGTAGGACTGCTCATATCCGATGGCAACGTCATGTAAGTAATTCTGAGGTATGACAGCATGTGTTTAGGCATGATGGAGATCGTCACTTAATAATTGAAGTCATCTGGGAATACCGGTTTCGGTGGCTTGGAAATAGGTTGCGCATATCATCCCAGCAGCTTCCATACCGTTCATTGTTTAGTAGCCCTGGGACTGGATAGAAGTGGTGTGGCCAGTGTTTGACGTGGCGCCATGGGAGGGAGGTTAGTTGTTTCGGGTTAGCGTCCGTTGGTGAATCACGACCCCCTGGGTGCGGTCCGAGAGATTAGGTAACTCAGTGTTTTATTTTTGTCCACTTCCCCTAAATTTATGTCTTTATGGTGTTATATTATTTTGGGTGGCGCATTTCTTAGTGCCCTTGCTGTAACATGTCTGTGTTATAATAATAATATTTCTTCTAAAGGCACCTGATAGAAAAAAGGATTTGTGTGACAACAGAGCCCAGGGGACATCTGTTTGAGGCAGATCACGTACGCCCCTTTTGATGCCACGTAATCTGGCCTGCAGAATGTGACATGAAGCTGGACATACTTCCTGTCGTTTTGCGCTACCACTAACCACTGAAGACTGATCAAAGACAACACAAGCGTCATCTCATTGTTTGAAAATATTTTAAGGCTACCTGCTTTTTCTCAAACTAATATCCAATGGACCTTTCCAGTATAGTAAGACCTCAAGGGAACAACCCTGCCACCAGCATACCTTGCTGAGTCACCGCGATACGCAAATCCGACCACCAGGTCAAGGTAGAGGGTACAGGTCACGTACAACCACACTCGGGTCCTGTATACATGTCTTAGAAACACAGCGTGAACCCAGGTTCTAGAGTTCTGGTAAGAGATGCCTGCTAGCCGATCTAGAATAGGATTTAGACGTGGAAAGCTACAATATGAAATCGACAGCCTGGTCTTAGGAGACTAGGAATGAGGTCTCGATGGCTCAGATCGCTGCCAATGGTCGCAGAGTGAGACGTCGAGGAAGTTGTAAGAGGATCAATACCAGCATCAGGAAGTGAAAGCAAAGGAGAAGACAGAGGTAAAAAGCATAGACTATATATGATTGGACCTTGTATGCTACTGGAAGCGTGCGGCCAGACGGGCAACAGGTTGACACTTCCCATCTGCCTACAACGTGAAGTTGTTTTTTTCAGGGGAGCTGAAAGAGGATACGATTTGTGTGACCACAGAGCCCTCAGGACATTAGCTTGAGGCCTACCATATCATATATATGATTTGAATGTCAAGCAGAAAAAACCCATACCTGCCGCACCCGAAAACCGTGGGGAGTGTTATAATTTGGGGGCCAACCCTTTGTAACCCCCTCCCTTTTTCGCTGGGATAGCAGCATCAGCACCATACTGCTGATCATCGACGGAATACACCTTAATGCTATCATTACACCCCAGAAAGCCACTAGTACGATTTCATTCTCGGACACATATCGTAGCGTTGCAACTTACACCATAACGAGAACGGTTTTTCGTCCTTCTGTTATGCAACAGACCTATCCGGAATGGTAGGATCTCAGGGGAAAAAGCATTCCAGTCAGTGTGATATACACACCCGTACACCACGTCAAAGTACCACCTTTCCTACGAGTGGGTCAGTTAAACTGTGCTTCAAAGTGCGACAACAGATGATATACGTTGGCAAATGTCAAACAGGCTTTTTGTATCCAAGACGAGATTTCTTCAGAAACAAGTCCCTTCGAGCTGATGTGATTCCCCAAGTAAGTGAAGTGGTTGACACACTCCAACAATTCACTCCATATCATTGAACTGAAAGTACTTGCGCCAGATCAGTTCTGGAGCACCATCTTACAATTGACAGGAGCCAGCAAGACGCATGCTAAACATACACAGATTTCTGCCCAACGCGTTCAGAAAACCCTCCAATTCCTAAGTATCTTCCTTCACCCAGCAGGACAATATCGTCTGTATTATCCAGGTCAACTAGATGACCTCCATCGAGTAGGTCAATCCCTGAGAAGTCAGACGTATACAGTGTAGTGTCCTTTAGTAAGAAGTTAAACCGGAACGGTGACATTGGACATCCCTACCGAACACTACTAGTCGTTGTCAACTCATCACTCAACAAATCTCCATAAGCCTTTACACGCCTATGCGAGTTACAGTAGAGAGCTTTGATAGGCATCATATACTTGCTCGGTACTCCCCTTCACAGTCAGACGCTACCACTACACCTCACAGTCAAATGTCACCTTCAGGTCAAGAAATATGGCAAGTGTCGGTCACTCATCGGTATGTATGCCTGTGTTTCAGAACCTATCGGAGGGTGAAAACCTGATCGATGCACTCTCGACCAGGTCTGAAATCTGCCTGGTTTTCTCGAGCTACAGATAGGCATCGGATTACTATGGACCCAGGATCGTATACAAACTGTTCGTCAAACTAATTCCTCTATGGTTGTCACAAGAAGATTTCTCCTCCTTCTTATAAAGTGGGATGATCAGTGAGGTATACCAGACTTACGGGACCACCTCTGATTCCCATACACTACCAAGTACAACCATTACTCTTATCATCAATTTCCTATCTCTATGCTTGAAAACCTCAAGTGGCAACCTGTCAGGTCCTGCTGCTTTGCATCGTTGCAGGTCCGATACACCTTTCTCAAATTCAGTAAGATGCGCAGCACCGACATCTACGTTGCATCCAGGTTCAGGCTGAATGCTAGGCAACTGAAGCAATGCTGAGGACCAGTAGAACTGTGCTTCAAAGTGTTCTACCCAACCTCATAGCCCCCTATCCCCAGACGTTATCAGCCTCCCATCCTTTTCGGTGATGGTTTCACTCACCATCGCCTTCTCCTTCTTCTTCATCCCAGAAACCTTAATAAACTAAAGTAATTACCGCCTATTACACAACCCTGATGCCTTCTCCATCTCTCTCGCTTCCACCACTCAACACTGCACGCGATCAACAAGAAAACTCGTGGCCAATTCACGTCTAAGTTGCTTCCGCCCTTCGCCGTGGTCACACCCAGCTAAAATCAGTCTTCTCGCATCAATCAGTTCAGATGAGCTTGCCCAAATCAAATGATCTTTGTTAACTATCGGGTGTAGGTTAACAACTGTCTTTACCGCTGTTTCTACAGCAGACTGAATATCATGCCGTGTTTCCTCAGCATGAGCATTTCTGTCACGTTCAGATACGTTTCACTATCTCCTCTTGAGATACTTATTTGGTGTCATATGTGATCAGAGATGAATCGCAGTATGGCTAGCATAAAAAACAATGGCGTTTTTCCAAAGGCTAAGGTTACCTGTACCGTAGTTACAACAGTAAGCAAAACTGCAACGAAATCTGTCCACTTTCGTGACTACAGTTATTTCCAACATGTAATCGTAAGTGGTGGCTTCCAGAAGGTGTTTTTTTAAACACATGCTCACGGTTATTTATGTGTCTGACTTCACCACTTTCCACGGCGCGACTGATATTGAAATGAGCTTCAAGGACTGTCAACAAAAAAGTAAGGTAGTGGAGGGTGTTTCTTTTCTCTCTATTTATATTGAATACAAAGGGAAGGGAATTGTAGGAATTCTTACTACCAGTAGTTTAATCGCAGCAATTATGACAAATGAGGTATTCACGTAACACAAAAAAAAGTAAACTAACTAAAAGGTATACACAAATCGTGCATTCACGGTTTTGTTGGTAGTTCTGTTACAAATGTAACTGTAAATTGAGGTAGATTATAAGTTTCATCGTGTCCGAAGTTTACAGAATGTATTTTCATTTCTTCATTTATATAAAGGGTTCAAAATAAATGGTTAGAAACAGATGTACTGGTAAAGGAAATGTCGATAATAAAAGATTAAGAAACTGAATAAATAAAGGAATAGATCACCCAACAGTCAGATCAAGACAGTAATGTAATTAATGCCGAGGAAGATTGACCAATGTCAGCCATCCACAGGAGGAAAATACACACAAGAGGCAGAAGAGTTACAATAGATAATTTGTCAGACATAGTTTTATTTAAATTATAAGTAAATAAAAATGAAAAATACCAACGCTTTTTCGTCTTCTTTTTTGTGTGAACAGAAACAAACGAATAAAAACAGACGTAGAATATAAACAGAATACGTAAGTTATTTTGTAATCACAATGATGATGAATATACATATACCAAGACCAACGCAGACACTAACAAAAAATATACAATCACAGAATCTAAAATTATTCCTTTCTTTATACTTTACAAACACAGACAACAACCAAATCATTTCTTAGCAGGATAAGAAGAAGTAAAGAAAGAAAGACAGATCAATCAGTAGTCATAGCTGCGGTAAAAATTTAGATGAATGCATTAGTAGCTGTAACAGTTGGTGAACAGTTACTCACTTTTTCTCATTTTGTTTCCCCTGATTTTGCCTGTATGCAACAATATAATATGCAAGCCACATCTTTAAATATTTCTGCTACCTTGAGTTAAAATAAAATAAAATGCTGTCGCCCATATTATATAGTGCATAGTAATAAAATGAGATGGACAAATTTTGTTTTCATGCTGATTTTTTATTGTTATCCACATACATCCATGTGGAATTTTATCCTAAAGTACTTCGTTGACTACACACCTCACGCATCAGTGGACTAAGACCATCTAAACTGAGTAGTTTTGCGAATTCTGTCATTCGTATTTCTAACGTCCTCAAATCAATAAAAGCTATTAAGATACGAGCATAAAGTTCAGTAGCAGATCGTAATCGTTTTGAACCTGCTTGCCATCGGATATAATTCCACAAGAACAAACTATACGCTTGCCTAGCGGCGCATACAGGAGCACGTAAATCTTCAGTAAGAGAATTGTCGGAGAACAGCTTAATAGCTAGCACAGACATCCGAAGAATATCATCAGAACCAACCAGTTCATCTAAATGATCAAAAGCTGCAAGGGTATTGGATTTATACAGTTCAAATTCTTCACGTAAACCGATAGCATAATTAACTTGATTCGAACGACAACGTGAAACCGACCTGATATTAGTATTATTGTGGAGGATTTTAGAGTATGAATCCGGGATCGCATCATCCGACTCATTCATAGTTGCACTTGGAGTAGCCACTTCATCTAGCATTGAAACCGTCACTGTAGTTAATTGACCATCTGATTGCAATACTGGATATCTTAATTTTCGGATATCTCTCTCAAAGAAGAAGGATGAATATAGTACAATTAATCCATAAATGTTAGTCTGTAAAAGAAAGCATATACAATAAATAATACTGGGATACAGATTTGTCTGATTGTCAAATATAAACTAACATGAATGTACAAAACAAAACATTTACGAATATAGTTCGATCGACCTTCTACAACCCTTTAATTACACCGATTCAAGTGGCATAGTGAATGGGGTTAACATCACTAATTTCCTAGTCTGAATAACATTGAGGTGATTTAGCAAACGTCTAGCACGAAATACTACCGAATTTGAATAGGCCACAATCAAGAATTCTCAAATATACTGGTTCGACATTCATACTTAAAGTTGATAGGAATTTTATTCGCGTTATAAGTCAGTCATGATCTATACGAGCCTTTAACATGGAAAGAGCAATTCTTCTGGTTATGTTTCGATATCTTAGTTCACGACAGACTTGTCACTTTAAAATTGATGATGCTTCTGACTAAAGTTTTGACTTGGAGAAAATAAATATCACTAAGTGTTTTTTATGGCATGAAGTGCTGCCTTTAGTCGACAACCTACTGCTTGTCTTTTCTTTGGCTTCAAATATATTAAAGTCGTTCACTGGGAGGCAGGTACATCCAGCTGACGAGTCCCAAATAGGACGAAACAGGCGTCCTGGATTCCACTACCAGCCACTATCCATCATTAATATATATTTCAAATGCATTAGTCGGAACTCATTATGTAGGTATGTCCTGCGCCTATGGTCAGTGTAATAACACGACACAATAAACCCCACGACAAAGTAACATTACTTTACCAAATCTTTCACCGTTTATGTAGTATATAGTAGGCTGATAAATGGAATCGTCGGTTTATAATTGGTTTCACCCAAATGAAGCTAACTAAAGTAAATTGTTTCAATGTGTTGTTAAATTTATTTACCTCGAAAGTTGTATTTCCTTTACTGAGCTATACGATAAGATCATAGAACGTAGACAGGAATATATGTAATTGACGTAACATCCGTATGTTTTGTTAACATAGAGAAAAATGTTGAGATTAAGTTTAGAGATTTTAGTAGGGAGTGTAAATGAAATGTAGAAAAGTACTAACATGAAATATACTTTCTAGATATGAATAAATTGACGAGTCTATGGGTATGAAGCAATTGAGAAGGCAAGGGTGGTCTGGAAAAGCTGACTATTTGTTTGGTTCGATTTATTTTGGTCGGCATATAAGGAACAACATAATAACTGTATTAAGAAAAGGATGAAAACCATGAAGATAACGACACCTGTTTCGACGAGTGTGAGGAAATATATACCTCTGGACTGCAGTGACAGTCTTAACTAATATACTAATTGAAGCAAACATATCCTGTTGCAGTCGATAAATCTAATACAAACGTCTTTATAATGGTAGGATAAATTCTTAGATTGACAACCTGTTACAAATTGAGTATGCATTTAGTCAACTAGGCGCATAACTAAGCTACGGTTCTTTATAAGTGTTTCATATTTAAGATATAGTTATATCTTTCTTAACCAAGCTTTTTCGTCAATGCGTTCGTGTACTTTATTGCTCCAAACTTTGCAGCATTTTGTTAGAAAGTTGTTCAATAGCTTTCAAACTCTTACAAACTGCGAACAGTATTAACAGACAGAAATCTCAACCTAAGTAGTGCACTCTATCAAGATGTTACTCAGTTTAACGCCTGATGAGCAAATGTGTAGGAAATCGATACAATTATATAGAACGATGATTCACAGCACATGACCTGCTTGTGACCTGATTAAGGTCATTACTAACTACGAAATCATTGTAAAAATCTTTTGATTCCACAGAGTACAGTGACAAAAAGCCGCAAACTAGCTATTATAAATGGATATAGATACAATTAGCTGTTCCCATAAATTTTGACTTGACTCACCAAGGGATCAGAAGAGTACTAACTAAGGTCTCAGAATACAGTATGTATACAGAAAAACTGTTGAACAGTAACACTTTGTTTCTCACTCGCTGATTGTTTTGGAGAACAAAGTAATTTAACAGCATCTGCCATGAACCAAAATCAGTAGAAAGATCAATTCACACCAAGTAAACAACACACTGACAGTGAACCTTTAGACCCTAACCAGATCTACTGTTCTGGTTAATGAAAATCAAAATATAAACCTTTTAGAAAATGCAAGTCTGAAAAATAAATTTTAACAGGATAAATTACCTACGCTTGTTCATTCGTTCTAAAAATTACACCCTAGCTCTATTATGATTATAAATGTATTGATGGGGAGGGAAAAGAATACTTCTGATCGATTTTGAGCAAAATAATGAGTCGACCAATCACATCGTACTCAAAGTAAATAAGTCCCAGGCTTATAAACATAAAGAGAGTAGACCCAGAAGGAGCTCTATTGGAAGTCAATATATTTATCACCGATTTCTGGTGACTTTAAGAGCGACTTTAAAGGCCACCCTAGCATTTGCTAAAATAACTAATCAGATTTCGGTATCCCGGGTAGAAAGGTAGTTTTTCATCAAATAGAGAAACAGAATTGGTTATCTCAGCAGTTGCTAGCGTGGCCTTTAAAGTCAATCCCGATTTCCCGCTAAGTCATATCAAAGTAGAAATAACTTGGTAATAATTCAAAGGCTTGAGGAATCACACCAAAAGTACTGAGTGACTTTAAATACCACCCTAGCAATAGCTAAGATTAACCAATTAGGCCTCTACATTTTACTAAAAACTACTTTTCTAGTCGGAATACCGACACCTGAATGGTTAATCCAGCCACCGTCAGGACGACCTCTAGAGTCGCCCAAAACAAGTAGGCTGGCCACAATATCTAGCTGCTGAAGCCAAAATGCTGTGAGGGGCTGCAATGGAATAAGAGATTAACCTATCGATAAGCTTTAAGAAGTGACTCAAAAGGCCACCGTAACAGCAATTAAAATGCCAATTATTATTATTATTATTTGTCCCTTGGGTTCCTAGTGGAACATAGGACTTCAGTAGCACGTCTCCATCCCACTCTGTTCTCTGCAAACTTTTGAACCTGGCTCCATGACAGCCCACAAGCTCTCATTTCTTCCTCGCACGATCTCTTCCATGTAACCCTCGGACACCAACCTCGTCTTTTCCAATGACGGTTCAACTTGAGAGCAAGGCCCGGCGCGTGATGTCCTCAAATGGTCTTCTCACTGCATGCCCAATCTAATCCATCCCCACTTTCTTCTGTATATTTGTTGAGCGATAGCTTCTTGGTTGATTCGTTCCCAGAGTTCCTTGTTGTGTACTCTTTCTGGCCATCTGAGCTTCAGTATCGAGCGTTGGTAGTTGTTGATGAATGTCTGTAGTTTGTTGGAAATGCCTTTCGTAACGCACCAAGTCTCTGAACCATATAGAAGCACTGACTTAACTGACATTGGTGTGGAAAATCCGGATCTTGTTCACGCTTTGTGCTGAGTGCAGAAAATCTCCACACTGGTTTCAGGCTAATGAACGCCTGTCTTGCTGTCTTTCCAATCCTGGCTGGCTTTGACGTCCTCATCTGTGCCGCCTCCTGCAGTTGAAACGGTGCTGCCTAGGCAGGTGGGTAAAAGAGACTACTTCCTTTAGGTTTCTCCCATTGTTATTGTTAGTTAGGCACCTTCATCACCTGTCTTCTCTACGTTCACCTGAAGGAAGTCCCATCTTCGCTACCCTGCCTCTTCTGCCAACTTGTTGGTTTTCGCCTGTTGATCCTCGAGTTTGTGTCACAAGACATCAGACATAAATCGTCATTGGCGAAATCCAAATCTTCTAGGGTCTTCTCATCGATCCAGAGTATGCCTCTCTTCTCACAGCTCCTCACTGTTTGTTGCATGGTCCAGTCCAGTCCAGTCGACCACAATCAGGAAGATCATGGGTGATAGTAGACAGCCTTGTTTTACTCCTGTCTTCACTTCAAAGTCATCACTGAGCTTCCCATTGTGAATTACTTGGCATGTGGCATCTTCATATAGTTGTTGAGTGAGATTGATAAAGGTTTGGGGTGTTCCGCAGTGTTGAAGCAATCTCCAAATTACTTCTCGGTCGACGCTGTCAAAGGCCTTTTCAAAGTCGATGAAGTGGAGGTAGAGAGTTGAGTGCCATTCTATACTCTGTTACATGATGATGCGTAGCGTGGCGTTGCAATTTGGTCTGCACATGATTTTTACTTCCTGAAGCCATCCGGCTAGCCTGTTTCGGTCGCAGTTTTGAATCCAGTGCATCCTTTAGTCTTTCCAGGATGATGCGGCTTAATATTTTGCTTGCTTTGGGTGGGCAGGAGCATGAATGCGTGCCAGTTCTTTCAAACACTGAGGTCTCCCTTCTTCGGGAGTTTGACAAGGTAACTCTTCTTCCAATCACTAGCCAGGTAGCTTTCCTTCCCTTCGGACATTCTGCAATAATGGTGTGAGCATGTCCGCTATTGTCTCTGCGTCTGCTCCCAGCCCTTCTGGTGGGATCCCATCTGGTCCTGCTGCTTTCCCGGATCTCAGTACTCTTATGGCTTTCAGAACTTCGACTTTCGTCGGAGGGCTCATTTTCACCGATAATTTTGTGGCTGCGATACTGCTGGTATTTCTGGACGAGTTGCAAATGGTGGTGGTTGATTCGAGAGTTTTTGAAGTGGTCAGCTCATCCTTTCCTTTGTTTCTCCTCTCTCTCTAATAACCAAGTTTCCTTCACTATCATTCATTCGTTTCACCTGTGTTGATCTCTCCCCTGACAGATAATAATCTGGTTATTTGATATGTTGTCAGGTCTCTGTCTCTCCTACCTGCAACCTGCTCTGCTTCCCTCGCAAGTGTGTCGTAGAAGTGTATTTTGTCTTTCCGTGCACTCTTCTCTACTTCTGTTTCTAGAGTTCTATAGTTTGTACTCAGTTCCTCCTTTCGTTGTTCATCCTTGCACTGCACTGGACCGGTTCATCTTCTGCTTCACCATCTTCCTCTCCCTCCTCTATCAGCTTCCATGAGTCCGTGGAGATCCATTCTTTATCTTCTTTCTTTTCCCTTCCTAATACGGTTATGCAGGTCTCTTTCAAAGAGTTCCAGTGTTCATCTACACAGGTTTCTTCAGGGATGTTGCTCGATATCTCCCATGTTTTCCTGATGGCTGACGTGAAGATGTCCTTGGTAGTTTTGTCCTTCAGTTCACTTTCTATTGTGTGTTGCACTTGAACTGTGGTCATTATCACCAGCTTCTTTGAAAACTTTTAACTTGATTTTGAAGGTTCCTTGCACTAGACAGTGAGTGTTCTGAACCTACCTCTGCTCCCCTTCGTGATCTGATCGTGTCCAGTGGGCTGCGTCCCCACTTTCTTGAGATTGTGATGAAGTCGATCTGATTTTTAGTGTGTCCATCTGGTGAAATCAAATCCATGTCGCATTGTGGATATATCGCTGTGCTGGAACACAGTGCCTCCAATCACCAAATCGTTGAATGCGCAGAAATCTGCAAACAATTCTCCGTTCTCGTTCATTTTACCGAGCGCTTCTCAACGCATGGTTAGTTCTCTTCCTGTCTTGTCTGCTCCCAGTTTGGCATTCATGTCACTCATTAGAATGAATTTTGATATCGCCATCTGGGTTGCAGTCTTGTTTATTACTGATTGCAGTTGTGTATAGAATCCCTCCTTCTTCTCTTCATCTGCACCAGTAGTGGGTGCGTAGCACTGAATGATTGTGACTTTCCTTCCCCTTGAGTTGAATCTTGCTGTCATGATCCTGATCTTTGAGGACATTTGTTCCCACTGCATGAAAGCCTTCGATGCTCTTGCAGGGGACATCATGATAGCCACTCCCTCAGTTTGCTCATGGTTGTTGTCTGGGTAACAATATAGTAGATCATTGACTTTGCAGTTGACAGTTTGGAGAGTCCACTTCCATTCCATCTGCTTTCGCAGATTCCTAGCACTTCAGTGTGATACCTTCTCATCTCTCTGACAGTCTGGGCAGCCTTGCTGGGTTCAAACATGGGGCGAACATTCCATGTCCCCATGTTTAATTTCACTTTCATCGAGAGAAGATACATCGGCCAACTGGCTTCCCGAAGGCTTTCACCAACTGGCATCATTTCGTCTCCCCGATTTCATAGAGGAATAAGTTTATTTTGATTTTTTATATTTTGTTTGTGCTTTGAAGTTTCTTTAGCGGCTGGATTGGTTTTACGGGGTAGGGTTGCTAGCCCTAAACCCAACCTTCCCTCTTTACCCGGCTTAGGACCAGCTAGTAACTAGTGAACTAGTTAACTAGGCGAGGGCCAATTACATTTCGTTATTTTATGAGAATCAGCCTTTACAACCTAAATACAGAAATTAAATTGGCTACTTCAGCCATTGTTAGGATAGCTTTCAAAGTCACCCGTTTTATGTGTGTAGTTGAAATATAACTCCGATGTTTTCATATCTAAATGTCTCATAACACTTTAACAGCATCAAACTGGTTACTATCAGACGTTGAAAATGTAGTCGGCTTCACGAAGACTAATACTAAAAACCAACTTATGTGTTCGAATGAACACTTTCTACAGAGCGACAGAAAAACTGTCAGCACAAAGTAAATGAAAACAAGATACCTACTAAATTTAAAACAGCGGGTGGTGGCTGTCTACTTACCCTTAACAAACTTAGCTGAGCAGGTTTACCAACTTCACTGAAATAAGGCAAAAGTTTAACAACTCGTATGATCCTCCTGATACACGCATCCATTCGATTATATTCTTGTTCTAATGTAACAGCAACACCAGTTTCAAGTTGTTCATCTGGGGTAAATGGCTCTCGTATACGACGAATACAACCCTGCAAACAGCTCAATAGATGGGGATCCGGAGAGGTTATATGTAGTGGTGAACGAAGGTATTTAGAACTAGAGAGAGTGCGCCGACGTCGCTGTCGATGCTTCCGACTGGAACGAAGTCGGCAGCTACGATGCTGACAAAACGTACGACCTCCTGTACGACGACACTGGGTGGGACACGGTCCTGATCGTACTTTGCAACTCTAAAATAGATTGAAATTAATGTCAAAACCATTTTTTTAAAGAAATAACGATCGTAAATTTTCCAAATAGTATCACAGCATTTCGTAAACTGGGACATTTTTCAAAGCAACATTGAATCGACCGTTGACAGCAAAGTCTTGGTAGATTATATCACGGCAGAAAAGCAAGAACAAAGCACATCGACTGTATCTTAACTACTAAACGTACTGTGGAGTTGACCATATCAAAAATGGAATAATCACCGTAAGACGAACTACCGTTAAAATAAGCTGATCAACTAAGTATAGTAAAGTGCATATTTTGGTAAGAACAATGCTTCACAAAAAGCATAGGAAACCCTGCATTGAAACTTAGCCGTCCCAAAGTTCAATTCTCCCAGTCTTCACAAACATATAACAGTAGGAGGTGTAGTCCTGCCAACAACACGAGGGGTGGTACAGCGCTATGGCCCACAGTGCACAGAGAAATAACACCCCAAACGCATGATAACACATCATCTATTCATTTTTTTCTTACATGAATCTGGGAAGTGTAGCGACACGAACTGATTCACTACTGTACTAACGTTTTACGTTGATTTATCTACCTATCATGAAACAATGACTAATGCAAAAATTAATCATTCCACTTTATAAACCGATTGTCAGTTTAGTTGAGTAGACGACGTTTTGGTTGAATGAAGGATGTAATGTTATTTTACAAACCAGGCAGGTAAAACTAACATGAGACCAACTATTACTGCATAACAGGCTATTTCGTCATACTATGTCAGCACATCAAGCGAGGATCTAAAGAAAAACATCAAGAAATAAAGGAAGCAGTCAAAGTTTAAGATCTCGTCAAGTGACTTTCCTCTCCCCCTTAAAACTCTACGCCTAACATTCACGTTACAAACCACTCCCCTTATTAACACCTGCCAAATAAAACACTTTCTATACATATATGTGTTGTCAAGGTTTCACATGGGAACCGGGAGCTGATTAATCCTTTCTCAATGTGATACTGTATAATGAGGAAAAGTCTGAAGATCACATGACTGACTTCCATTAGCCGTTGCAGATACGATAGATTCAACTACCAGTTGATCTTCAGTCAAATCTAGATATCATGAGTTGGGGACTGAGGCTATAAAAAGTAAGTACGAAATATGCAACGGAAAACATCCAAAATTATCACAAGCACGTATGACACAAACTCCTATACACAGTAACATGACAGATAGAGGATAGGGCAGAAAGAGAAAAAGGTATAAAGCCGTTTCACAATGTATGTGACCTGAAATGACCTTTGTTTAAAATGGTCTAAGTTGAGTCTAAGTAAGCATAGTGTTTGCAGTTGGATTGTACGACAATAGGTGCAAGTACGCTTTCAAACCATAAGAGTATGAAAAGGACAATAATGGAATTGAGACTTAGAGTAGTCATCACTCGATATTTGAATAAAACAAGGCCGAGAGTGTATGGAATGTGTTTTCAATTTCCCTAATATTTACAGTGTACTATAATACTAAAGTCATATAAAACCCTCATAAGTTTTTTGACTGATTTGGACTTAGTTATTAAATTGTTTATAGAAGGGTGATGTATTAGGCTGCAAGAAAACTGGAGTCATAAGTGGATGCGAATCAGTGGCTGGTTGGACGATGAAGACTGCTAACTGTGAGAGTTTACTATTTTGATGAAATGAAGAAAAACAGGAACCTGTTTTAACATAAAAGTTGGACAAAGTACTCAACTAGTACAATGAAACTAACACCTAGATAACATTTCGTGGAGCAGATGAGATAATATTAAATTGGTTAAATTGGTTTAATAATCTGAATGTGTTCGTATTGAATTCGGCTAAAATTCAAGATTTCACTTTCAGTAATCATGCTGGATTAAATAAATACCAAACCACGCAAAAAGTATAGAATTTGGGGGTCATAATGCTAACGAGTCACTGAGGTTCCTATAGATGTAATGGTTAATATTTATGAGCAAATTATTACATAACTGATCTTGTGAACCACTGAGCCATATATACTAAGTGGTGTATTTTGATTGACTATCATTTTTTTCTGTGAAGTTTGAGAAGCATCAGAAATGTAAAGTATCAAAGAAGGAGACAGTGACAACACGGATGGCATCAGGATCACGAATATGAAGTTGTCAAAAAAAAACTGCTTTACAGGTTTACTGTATTATTTGAAAATGTGGTATTTGACCCAGCTTATGAAGCGAAAAATGCAGCATATGCTTTTGTGTGATCGTCTTCTAAAGTATCACAATATTTATTGAGGCACATTAAATTAAGTATCAACGCCAAGGCTACCAAGATTCAAAACAACTGTTGGTAATTTTTTTCCGAATATACGAATCCAGACAAGTGATTCAATACTGTGTCTGTGTATATCTTTTTCAACAGCATTGAAGCAGATTTATAATCTGAAGAAAAAGAGTTGTCTAGTATACGAACTTGATTTAAATCAAATCCTCAATATCTTGAGATACTGAAGAATCTTGGTTTTTGCATATTTGTAACGAAATATGATAAACAACGCTCAACTTACACCATCTGACTGCTGGGATGATTCAAGAGTAGAAATTTGCCAGCTTGATTTTCACCTTGATTAACAGGTCGTATAAACAGTTCGTTAGGTTTCCCGACCAAAGGAATTTTCAAAGAATTATTAGAGAAGCTACATTCTTTGTTGTCCAAAGTTCCAGAGGAGTTAAATGTGTCTGTAGTCAGAGATAAGTCATTGCGATGACCTGGATTTAGATAACCCGGAAACTTAACCGAATTTATTAGATGGACTGGCATACCACATCCAGAAATATAGGAAGAACTCTGGGGAGTTTGGTTTGATCCGACCTGCTGATGAGATGAAGTTAAAGGAGATGGTAAATAGGATGGTAAGCTGTTGCATTACTGCTACCAACTGATGAAGGTCCTGTTAGAAGATGCTGAGGTGATGAGCTGCTATCTTGAGGGGAATGATGTTTTCTTCGTCTAGGCTTAGCCCGTTGTTCAAGTTTTTCAGGGGCTACGTTAAATTAAAGATAAGTGAAAGACATTTTTAACGTGTTACAAGATATCGAAATAAATAGAAATAATTTGTACATCGATAAACAATCTCTTAGCTGTTGGGGTATCAAAGTAACTGAAGAAAAAAATCATCGTGACATAAATCATAGGAGATAAGGTTTATCTATTTTTACTATTATACATGCTATTTAAAATTATCCTCTACAAGTGTGGTAATCTCTTTTACGTTTACGTAGCAAACGGAAAGTGTAAGGACCTTTGAATATAACTCATGCATCTATATTTCCGATTTAGGTTGCAAAACAAGATCGATATATTTCACCTATAGACATAAACGAATACAAGACTAAAAGCAACCCATTTCTGCTTAGATGATGTTACAACCTAAACACTAGTAAGTGTTGTAGGTAGGGTTCGCTGACAAGGCAACTAAAATATTAATTGCGCAAAAAATAGTGAAAACGTTAACATGGTTCGGAATCATTTCACTTGAAGTGGGTTATACAAAATTTAACGTGTTAAAAAGTGATGCAATACTCGGACGAGTTTTATGACCACTAAAAGCATTCAACAGAACGAATATTCGCAGAAGATTGTTACTACTCAAACTAATGAAATAGAGATGTTTGATAAATCCCACGATTCACTCTTATAGGGTAATCATGAGGAAATAATAACTGGTCGAGGAAACCTGAAAATCAATTTGTTGTACTCTGTCATCGAAGTCAGTGGTAAAAAAACATACTGAACAAATCGTGGTCTTTCATACAAGTAATACGCGAAAGTCAACCAGCAAAAAATTCTAAGATTAAAATCTACTTTTAGAACAATGTAAATATATAAACTTATAACTCAGACTGCAGTGAACCGTCAAAAAATACCGCGTGTGACCGCCA